TTTTCTACTTAGTTCCTACTACTTAAATTTAACTTAGGTTCGACTTAGGTTGAACTTAAGACCCATGTTCTTTTTGAGCTATTTGACGTGACTATGTTTTGTAGTTTGTGGCTCAAGGGACCCGTTGCACGCCTATATATGAACGGCGAAAGGTGAGATAGGTTTTGTCCGTTCGAACTATGGCCAATCTGCAGGTCTGTCAAATCCTTCAAGTCTTGGTGGACAGACTTGATGGGGTGACAGGACACTTGCGAACGCAGCAGGTACAAGGCATTTGTGCCTGCACAGAGTGGATGAGGTCTGAACTTGTTTGAACTTTTCTGAACTTTTCTTGGTGGACTTATTTTCTGAACTTCGAAAGGATGAGGGCCGCGGCCGAGCTATCCATATCCACATTGGATAGATCGGCGTAGCTGTACTGCGCAAACAGACCTCTTTCCATGGCCAGGGCACAAAAAAAAGTGCGTGCTCCGGAGGGTTGGGGGAATGTAGGCGGAATGTAGGCGAGGAATCTAGAAAATCAAGCTTTTTAGATGTAGGCGCAACTAAAGTAAACATACAAACAATGTAGGCGAAATGTAGGCGAATGTAGGCGGAGCAAACGCAAGCACAGCTTCTGGTGGCTTTTTTGAGTTGCTTTGTTCCGCAGCACGGGAGCAAGCAAGCACAAATGGAGCAAGCAAGCCGGCCCGCACTGGAGATCAGGGTGCATTCACAGATCCAACCCTCCGGCAAAGCATAAAATGTCATTTGGTCTCAAGGAGACTGCACGTGGCAGATGTGTTGCTTTGGGAAGGTGAGTCAGCTGGCCAAATTGAGAACATTGTGGAAGGTGACTCTACCTCCTTACCATATGGCAGTCTGTGGCGCAGACTGCATTGCAGATCTTGGTATAAACCCAAAATCAACAACACATATTGCGTAGCAATGTGGTGGCGCTGGGATGATGACAAGAATCTCCTCCTGTGTTTGCACTGAAAACGTTTCGCGAGTCGAAAAAAAGGGAGTTCTTGCGTAAAATGAACGAATCAAAAAAATATGATTGAAAAAGCCAAGGCCTACTTAAGTCCTACTTATAACCTAGGTTTTAACTCCTATAAGTCCACCTATGCATAAGTTCGATAACTAAGTTATAACATCTACAAGTTAGCTACAAAAAGCCACAGCCACCTAGTAGCCCCGTTCGTGGCGTCCGATCGCTCCTAGTAGCATACGACCAGGAACCCCGTTCGTAGCGTCCTTGTAGACTAGGAACAAGAAACTAGTAGCAAGGTGCCTCGCGTTCTTATTAGCAAGGACGCTACGAGTCCAAAGCGGCTGATGGCGTTGCAGTGGAAGAGAAGACCAGTCCCCTGCTTTGTCATAAATCTGGGCTGACAGTGATGGGCAAAGGACGCAGAAGCCTCACGAGGACACAGAAACTGGGACTTCTGTTCACGGCGGTGAACGACGTGTTGCGTGACGTTGAATCCTGGATGGACCTTGTGCGAATTCTGAAGTGGAATCGTGGGTCGCGAGCGTGCAACTGAAAAGACCTCTGGAACCCAAGAAATAACGTTGTCTCTTCACAGCCGCCTTCTTTGTTTGGGCGTTTCAAGCCATGCAACTGCTCTTCCAAGAGCCATTATCCACTTCCATGTTAGTGAGTCAGTGTGTAGAAAACTAGTGGCTCTAGGCAAACATGGAGCCACACTTTCCATGCCTTTGAGGGCGCTGGGGCTGCATGCAGCACCTCGGCGAGATCGACAGATTGGAGTCTGGCGACATGTCACGAAACGCGCTATAACCTACTATCAATGGCCTCCAACCTGCTAGCAAGGCCTCCAACCTGCTAGCAACAGCCTCCAACCTATTAGCATTGGCCTCGCCTCCACCCTACTAGCATTGGCCTCCAACCTACTAGCATTGGCCTCCACCCTACTAGCATTGGCCTCCAACCTACTAGCATTGGCCTCCA